AGCATCTCTTCTAACTAAAATTCAAAAGAAATAATTCCCTTTAAAACAATTAAAGCCTCCTTAATAGGCATTCTATTCTTTGGAACAAAATTAGTTAATCCTTCAATAATATATTTAAGCTAGTTGTGATAAACAAAATTTTAAAATTCACCATCATAATTTAATGGTTTATGCTTATTTGATGCTAAATTAAAATCTATTCCTTGGACAAGTGTATATATTAGATATCCTTTTAATAATTTTTGTTAATTAAAAATAAATAATAAATTTTTTATTTTTGCTATCCTCTGATAATTATTTTTCTAATATGAAATTAATTTCAAATCATGGGTCTTGGGTGGATTTAAGAGGGTAGTTGACCTATTATTCTACTAAATACATATTTCTTAATCAAGAAATAATTATCAGAGAATAGCTATATATATATAATACCTAAAGAACATGCTTCACTCTATTTGAATTAATAGGAATAGTATTAATTAGCTTTTAGAGTAAGAATTTAAATAAAATATTTACTTTTTTGCTTGGCTCTTGTCTCACACTGACGCCTAATTTTAAATATTCATCATGATAAATCTTACCTATATATGGTTCAGCTGGGTCAAAACACTCTGGTGCTTGATACAAGAAGTTTCCCATCTTTAATTTTTTGAATTGAATTATTTGAATATCTCTTTAATATGATAAAAATAAATATGAGTGCATACATATTAATTGATAGAATAGTCAGATTTATTTATTAGGTTATCTGCCAAACCAAAATCAGCTATTTAATTTATTAATTAATTAATTAATTAATTAATATATTTTATACAAAACTAAACAAGCTTGTTGTTAAAAATTAATTTACAAACAACTGCATTTCCATGGTAATCAATTAAGATATTATCCATTTTCAGATCATTAAGAAGGCAGCTCTTAGAGTGAATGTAATAGAGACCTTGAGCAATGTCATTAGCGTATTTGATTGCTGATATTTCATTCAGTCTTTTGTTTTAATTCCTTTCTAAAATTTAGGTGAGAGTTCCTTTTTATTTATTTATAGCATTTAATTTAGTTTTAAAAACTTTCAATTAAGGAGTTTGTTTGATTAATTTATTTATTAATAAATTTTTAAGTAAACTAATATTATTATTTTTACCCTAACACTCAGTTAGAACTAAATAACTAAATTGTTATCCTTCAAATTAATCTATAAGACTGACTACGTAAGGAGAGTCTCTACATTTTGTGAGTATTTCTACTTCTTGTTTCACTCGATTGTTAAGATCTTTGTCAAGATTTCCATAAAGATCTCTAACTTAAACACCTTTGATGGCATACCTCATGTTAGTTTTCGAATCTTTTGCTAACAAAACTAATCCCTAGACTCCCTATCCTAAAAACCTAAAATCAGAGTAGCCTTTTTTAGTTAATTCGCTTTTCATAGTCTAATAAATTTAAACTTATTAAGGCTTTAACTTAGGGTCTTAGATATCAGAAACTATTATTATAATTAAGATAAAATTTGATTAGAACCATGACAGGCAAGGTAAATTATTAATTGGATGGTTTTGTTTTATGTTTCCAAATTAAAGGTTTAAGCTTAAATAACATCTGCATTCAAGTTTTAATATTTGTAATTATCAATATATATATTCATAAAAAATTAATATTAATTTAAATATTTTTTACTGACTAACTCAGACTTATCGAGCATTTAGACACCTTTCATTCTGTACATCTCTTTGATTTTTTTCCTGTTTTGAAGATGCAAAGCAAGCTTATATTTAGCTTCTTAAGAATCTAAAAGTTTTTAGTTGGTTGAACCCATTTTTAATCTTTCAATATTTTTTTTCACAAATTAATTTGAATTAATTAATTATGTACCAATAAACGATATATATTCCTTAAGTTTTTAAATGTTTATTTTTTGTTAAAATTTGATGTAAATTAATTTAATTATCTGTAAAAAGAATATTGAACAAATCAAAATTTTCTTTCATAAAAATTATAATAATACGCATTAAATATTAGATAGTTTTCTAAATAAGATTAAATATACCAACTTACCATCATCTCAATCACGAAATTATGCAAAATGACATAATGAATAAAATTATCAGCAGACTAATTCACTTAAATTAAAGCAAGAAAGAAAACAAAATAACAATTCATAACTTAGTAAAACATAGAATTAAAGTAGCTTAGAACTTAAATTGTTTGCCATTATTGAAGTAATTGATCATAAAATAAGTTTTCTATTTTAAATTAAACTAAATAATATTTATTTATCCTTAAAATTTATAATACTAAAAATATGAATTAATGACACAATAATTTTAAAGTAGAAAAACTAAAATATAATTAATAAAATAGATAATTAAATAAATAAATAAAGATTAGATGTAAAACATTTTGCAAATTTTGATGTAAAAAACAATAAATTGTAAGACTATAAACAGATATTAACATTTTTGCACCTTCTTTTTAAATCAAAACTTATTAAAAGACCCTTTTCTTTCATAAATAAAATTTAAAAATGTTCAAGCATCATCTTATTTTCAAA